GTGTGCTACTGGTTAGAAGGTAGGCAGGAAGCAAGGTGTGTCCTTCCATTTTTGGAGGGAGTAATGGGCCTTGAATGGGGTCAAGTACAGAGAGAGGGGACACCAGGCAGGTGAGCATGGCAAAGACAGAGCCACCATTACAACCTGGAGCTGCTGGCTCAGACACCAGCACCATTTACTAGTCTAGACCAAAACCCCAGGAGTCCACCCCCAGCACAGCCTGTCAGAGGGAAAAGAAAGTCTACTCTCCAAGAGGCTGAAAAATAAAAGGAATGTCACAAATAAGACCCAGTGGCTACAGGCAAATCCACACAAAGGGGTCTGCGTGGAAGGCAAATCTCTGGTGTCCCTGAGTTCTGAGCTGCAGGTGAGCTTCGGAAGAGAAGTGTTTGTGTTTGGGTTTTCCCCCTGTGTGTGGTGAAGTAAGCAACAGGTAAAACGGGGTGCTCTGAAATAGGGGCGCGAGCAACTTTCCGCCAACCAGGTCATCTCCCGTGCCCCTCTGTAAGCTTTCAAGGTGCCTGAGAAGAGAGGACGCAGTGGCAGGGAGAAAGGAGCAGAAGAGACAGCGAAGCCAGCAGACGCTGCCTGTTTGCATCGCTGCCTCAGGAAATTCAGGGAACTATCACTAGGGGGTAAAATCGGGCAAATGACTTCCTCTCCACCCCCTCCACCCCCACCTTGAAGGGAATGTTTGATTCATGGCTGCTCTGGGAGACTTCCCCCAGTCGTGCTCCTATTTCAGGGACGACTTTGCCCCGGCAGGATCCTCCTAGCAGCTGCTCCCTACAGCAACTGCCGCCCTGTCCAGCCACAAGACATGGGAAGTCAACCCGTGTTCATTCAAAAAAAAAGTGCGTGTGAATCAAAGGATGGCTGGCAAGAAAAGCAATGGCAGCAGAAGAGCTGAACACAGCAGATCTAATAAGATCACATTTGTACATCTCTAAACACAGAGCCTGGGACCCCTGTTCAAAAGGGGAAATGAAGAAGATTAGATCTTGCACAGAAAAAGACTGTGCAGCCTGCATAGGATGTGAAGTGGAATAATCCTCATGGTGGGGTTGTATACCGTGTCCATCACTCCTCCCATTAGTTCATTGCTCCTTCCCCACCTTGGAACTCAAAATTGAACAGCCCCAGTAAACATGATTCAGGTCATGCTATTGGTTATATGGATTCTCTAGCAGGATGTGATGCAGCCTCGAAATTCAAATTAAGTGGGAGTTTCTCTTAAATCCTGTCTGGAGAATGGAGCAGATTGTGCGATCTATTTAAGTCATTTGAAATGCATTTAGTTTTGTTATACCTTTTTGACTTTAAAGGCTGTCTCCCTACAAGGGTTGGTCCCTAAGTTTATTTCTGCCATCAGAGAGGTGAACTAAAGGAGGAATCCTCCCTGGTAGTGACCTGTCATCAGGATGCTGCTTAGAAACCTTTGAAATGTGGGCCATGCTTACATGCTCCCCGCTAGGACTGGCACCCAAACAAGCTTTTGATTTCATTCTTAAATCCTTCTGTAAGGCACACTCTCCTGCCATTCCTACCGCTGAACTTCGTAGGCCGCTAGGGAGAGATTTGCAGTGAGAATTCCTTTGCACAGGAGCTGGAGGCTGGGATTCCAGTCCTGGCTCAGCCACTGTGTGGTTTCAAGCTTGGCTGTCACTTTTTTTTCAAGCTGTGTGATCAGAGGTCCTTCACTTAATCCGTGGGCCTCTGTTGCCCTGATCTGTAAAATGCATGAGTGGGGTGGCTCTTTGCAGCTTTCGTCTGTTCTGGTCCTACTGAATTCCTAGAATCACTAAGAAAATTGATGCTATCATGTCTATAAAAGTGCTTTATAAATCTTCAACATTTCCTTGGAGTATTTTTAAAAACATAAAGCAAGGGGAAAGGTAATGTGGCTTAACAAAGAGTATGTTAGTTTATGCCAAGATGGGATGGAAAACAGTTACTGTCTCTGGATTTTGCTGGAAGTGAAAAGTTCTCTGGCTTCATATAACCCTAGGGGCATACAAACTGAAGAGTGCTGTCTCGCCTAGGGAGTTGTCGGTTAAGAACTGAAACAGGATGGATCCTTGCAGTTTGTTGTTTTTGAACTTCCAGCTGAACTTCATACGGACTTCACAGCCAACCTATAAATTCCTCAAATCTGTTCCCTCACATTAGGCTCCAAAAGGAGCCACAGCTCTGAGGCATGGAAGAAGAGAAACAATAGCCCACCAAATACTTCCATTCTGACCCTCTCTACCACTTCTTTCTGGGACATTGATTTGTACAATAAGAACTCTTGATAGTAATAAACATTAGTCCTGAAGAAAAATATACATGTTAATGTTAATAATCATCTTTTTCAACATTAACCTCACTATCTAGCCCTCAAAACAAGAAAACCATGTCAGGACACACACCTTGAAAGACATTCCTCACTCCTTGAAAGCCTTGGCTCATCCAATGCAAATGCTCTTGAAAATGCCAAGCAAAAGTGCCCAGGAAACATTCTGCCAAGATTGGGGCCCCCCAGTTAGGCCCCCCTAGAATTCAAGTTAGCTCTCCTTGTCTTAAGATTTTTTTTTTTTAAATGACCACCAGGTGCAATCATTTATATTCAAAAGGCTGGGTGCGAGGTGCTGCAGAAGCTACTGAGCCTCTGTCATCATGCACCCAGAAGTCTAACAGACCTTTGTGTTTAGTGTGACGATCTGGACAGACCACAGAATTAATGTTCATAGACCAGGCTTGGGAGGGTAAGAGCGATATCCCGTATTTGGTCCCCACCCTCTCGATCACTTGGGGCTGTGTCCTCAAATCTGAGCTCGGTGCATACTGGGTCAACAGTTAATCTCTCTGCAATGTGAGTTCCAGTCTCAGGAGAGGGCTTGGTGAGAACCCCAACTGGATTTGTCAGCCCCTTCTGCCGCTCCAACCATTTGCAGATGGCCATGACCTTGACAGGTTACACAGGGAGATGTCTTCAGTGATCATCAACCCTGGGTGGGTTTTCAAAAGTCCTAGCCCTAGCACAACATCATTATTTCATAGGAATTTCATAAATGAATCTTTTTCTTTCAACGAAAAAAGGTATGAGGAAAGGGATGGCCTTTTTTAAAAAAAGGTGGGAGGGGATCTTTTTTTTCTCCAAAAGGGGGGAGAAAAAAAAGATATCCTTTACCCACTCCCTCTCTCCTGGCCCATTCCCACCCCCCTAAAATCTCACTTCGAGAAATATCCATTTATTTACAAACTGTCTCTGAGAGGAAATAAGAAATGAAAGTGTAGTGAACACCAAGTGTGGTTACCAAGCTGAAGTTGCCCAAAAACCCTGTTTGTTGTTTCAGTCAGGTCTCCCCTTTAAAGTGCCATCACTCTAGTTATCAGCAAGGACCTTAGCGCATTCAGGAAGGATGTTGTCACAAAATCCCCAGTGGTCTTAAGTGTCAACAACCCAGGCAGAACAGGGGGCAAGGAGAGCGTTTCTCCACAAAACAGTTTGTCTGGGAGTACCATCTCACCTACGTGTGAAGGCATCTCAAAAACTCATCAAGGCCACCTAGTCAGTCAGGGTATTTTTTTGTCATGGAGAAGCCACTGGGGAAAGGCGGCAAGGAGGGAACCTTGCTCCTGCAGTGCACACAGCTGTTGTCGGGAAGAGACAACTGTGCATGCCCTCACCAATGGACACCCTTGATGTGATGTGTATGTGTGTGCGTGAGCCATACATGTGGGCTGATGAACACTCATGGCATGTGTGCTAACAGCACAGGGAGGGACATTCCCTTTGATCAGTTACAGAATTTAATGGGATCAGCTCTGGATCAATACCAGAACACCTGGCTTCTGGGCTCCCCCTCACCTTATTGACGTGGTCTCAGGCAAGCCCTTAACCTGGGTGAGCCTCACTCTCCTCATTCTAAAGTGGAAGTTGTGAGATGTGTCCCAATGAGGGTCAGATGAAATAATGTACATGAAAGCACTGTAGAAAGTATAAGGCAGCGGGCTACTGAAAGGAGTCACTATTTATGATGAATAAATAAGCAGGAAAGAATCCAGGTGCCAGTAATTTTGTTATCTTCTCACAAGGTGAGGGAATCTAGCCAGAGGGTGAGTGGGTACGATTCCTCCTACCCCCTCACATGCACAGCCAATATGTAAATCTACAATACACGGGTTTTATTATTCATAAACCTATTTTAATATGCTATATGGTTTCTAGTTCTCTTCTGGATCTCAGGCAATAGAAAACACCAAATTGAGAAAAGTTTTTTTGCAAATTAACTGGGCCAGAAGGAGTCTTTATCACCTGTCTGTAAACATAACTTATTTGTGTCACTGATTTCTAAGTAATGGGGCATTACTATCATTACAATAGTGTGTTCTGATCGGAACCTCTTTCCTCCTAAAATTTTCCCCCTTATAAAATCTGTTCCAAATTTCTTGATGTAAGTAATAACGAAGTGTTATGTGTGTTTGTTTGTCTGCATTAAGATATATTTGCCAAAGGTTTGGGAACCTAAAATTAGAATATTTAATAAGCAATGGGTGACATTTGCCACCTTCCTTGGGATTTACCACTAACCCAGTGACGTTATCTTTCTTGAGCTAAATTAAAAGACAAATTCAAATCCTGCACGGTAGCCACCAAAAGCATATATTTGAAAAACAGAATTCAGCGTGCCATATTATGCATTATTTAATGGTATGCAAATTATAAGTCAGACAGTTAGGAAAACCACACTTCAGCATTAATAAACAGCAATACTACTACTACATTAATTATGATATCGCTATGATTTATCCCCAAGTTTTGCATGTTGCTTCTCCTTGAAAATTTATGCCATCCAATAAGCAGTAACCTATTTCCCCTCCTACGCCTCCTACCCATTCCTCAAATCTGTCCTTCCTACCCACCCAATGGGTGTCTGCAGGAAACGGGTACAGAAATACAAAGTCATAAGCAGCTGCATTGTCTTATAAACATTAGTAATTAAAGAACAAGAAAACACCACCTAAAGCTCCAACATTTATTGTGTCAATGTTAAGCACACTTTTTAAAAGACAACATAGAATGTATAGAAACAAGGGGTCGGGGACTCATGCTCATTTCCACGATATGGGTAATTAGGTTGGCTGGTTTCAAGGGGCCGGGACGTCACTCGGGGCAGCGTTGGTCCATGGGCCCTCTCTATGGGACTGATTCACTATTCCAATGTGGGTCTGTTTTTTTGTTTTTACTTTTTATTAAAAAATATAAATAAAATGGTGCTGCAGGCCCAGGCAGGAAGGCCTCTGCAGGACTCTGTCTTCGCACACGGCTTCTTGGAGGCTACTGTCAGAAAAACACCACAAACTAGCAGGATGACAGACCACGCAGATGTTGCCGGGCGGCACGCGTCCACCCCGCCCCTGGGGGCTTCAAATTTTCTCAGAACTTAAGGGCTCTCGAGCTTCCATCCGAAAACTGCCACACATCTTGAGCTCTCTGGACACTACGCCGAATGGGGGTGTGTGAAGAACCTAGAAAGAGGATGGAGACAGAGGAGGGGGAGAAAAAAGGTACAGGTGTGACTTGGCCCAGTGATTTTCTGTTCTCTAACTAGCTTTTTTCTTTTTTTCATACTTATAAGTTAAACCAGCCACAGGTTGAGCCACTGGCATCTTAAACATGATTTCCAAACTCCACCCCCCGCTCCCCCAATCTCTAACCTCCGAGTGCCTTTCCCATGAGCTCCCTCCGTGCCTTCCCCCAAAGGACCCAGACCCTCTACCCAATCATATGATAGTCCTAATAAACTGGGGACACACCTGGAAGGAAACACTTTCCCTTATGACTGAGAAAACTTGAGTAGGAAACAGTCCTTTGGTTGAGGAGAACAGGGGAGGAAGGAGGGAAGGGGGACATTTCCTTAAAATAATAACAAAATTATAAAGAAACTAAAAAATCAAAATTGATGTAAAAGCAGCACAACGAAAACATGAAATGTCATCAAGTTCAACGTCAAAGCAGCCAACGATTTACAAGAGGCGAACAAATCTCTGAAGAGGAAAACCAGAACCCAACATAGTTGCTCCCAAAAGTAACCAAAAACTGCCTGTAGTTTCTTTCAAACATGCAGTTTTTTCTTTTCTTTCTTTCTTTTCTTTTTTTTTTCTCTTTGTAAGGGGGAAAGGCAATGGTGAGGGGAAGATGGGAGTTATTTTCCTCCGGGGTTCCTCCCTTGCTGTGTACATTGACTTGAAGCAGCAGAACTGGGAGTCCGGATGTGGCTGTGCCGAGGAAGAGCTACCACTGTGGCATTCCAGGCCTCGTTGCCATGGCGACCTGAAGCAGGGGCCTGGGGCCTCCTCTCCCCTGACTTGGCTCCGCAGGAGGCTCAGGGTCTGGAGCTCAGCTGCTCTCAGGAATCCTGAGTGGTGGAGACCTGGGCTGAGGGGCCTGCTGTGTCCAGGTGGGCTCTGGGAATCCGGTTCCCAGTCCAGCCCTAAGTCATTGTCGTTGAGGCCCCTTTAGCTGAGACCCCCATCAAACCCCTTTGTCAGACCTGCTACCAATATTGAAAACCCTAACAGACAAAGTAGAGCATGGGCATGTACCATGCTCACTGTTATTTAAAAGCACAGCCCCCTGTAGGTGTGGGGGGGTCCCTGTAGGTTTAGAGGGTAGACTTTGGAGAAATCCTTAGATGGCCTTTTCTGCTGTTTCATAAAGACCTGATATATGCTCTCTTTAAGTAGTCTTCGCCACTTTACAGGAAGAAAAACCAGTATTTGGACCGACCACTGCATTGTGTTCAGCCAAGTTTAGGGTTGGAGTACAATCACCCATTGGTGTGACCTGGATTGGTCTTCTTTCCCATTTGAAAGGAGAATTAATCGCATCCTATGACCATAGATGACACTGGGAAATAGAGAGAGAGAGAGAGAAACAGGCCCATCCCCTAAAGGCTGATTCACTGGCCATGTGTTTTGCTAAATGAAACAGTGGGCTAATGAGATAACAAGATGACAGCAAGCAAAAAAAAAAAAGTGATACCCAACAACCCATGTCTACAGTCTGTAGCTGTCACAGCCCTGGAATAAATGTATGTGATCCCAATTCTGCCTATGTGTTCTGATGTCCATTTCTCTAAAAATGAGTTCATTTTATTTGTAATTGGGAGCTTCAGGGCCTTAGGAGACACTTGGGAAATTTTGCTAAGTGGCTTGTGCCTTTTAAAAGTTAACAGTCTTTCAAAGAAACATTTTTTCCAAGCAGTTTAAAAAACACTGCCAATCCCATCCTCATATTGGCAACATTCCCACAATTTTTCTTTTTTAAAAGTGAAGTTTTCTGGTGGGGGGGGGGGGGGAAGAAAACCAAAAAACAAGAGAAAATGGGATGGGTACATTCTTGAACACACTAGCCGTGGGGACAACAGAGTAACAGCATCATCAGGAAGAAGACAGGATTACAGCACAGTCATAAGAAATCATGTTTGTGTGTGTGTAGGGGAGTGGGGGAAGGGTTTAAATACAGAAAACCCTGTATTTCCTCCCTCACTCTCCAGGAGTAAAGTGTTTGAGACAGGACAGGATGGGATCTTTTCAGGAAGGCTTTGAAATATCCTAGTACCTTTTCCCAAACTTGGGAGTACCTGTGAATAAGCCATCTCATGTCCTTATTTCTCCAAACGAAATATCTAACCCTCACTGCCACTTCCTTTCAAATTCTCACTTCTAGCATTATGAACATATACAGTATGTACTGATTGCATATACAAAAATGGTATTTAAATAAACAGCTCTGTCACAGAACGCCCTGGGAAAAACTCAACTACTTCACACTTTCTGCCATTGCTATTACAAACGAAGAAGCAAGTGTAAACCTCACTTCTTAGCAACCGTTAAAATGGGCTTGTCAGTCCTGTAGGTCCTAAACAGAGGCTAATAAATGGTCTCAGGATGGAGATAGTCCTTGTATTGGGTTTCTGGTTTAAAGTCTGTGAGAAATAACATCTGCTGTATTCCTGTTTATTAAGTTGTTCTCAAAATGAAGATAAAAAGGCCCCGTCTTTATAACTAGAAGTTCAGGTATATAGAGGACATTGCATCCACACATTTGGGAATGTCATATAACCTTATTTGAAATTTGTGAAAAATGTTAATGTTCATAGTATTCCCTCATTTTAAAAGGAAATCATGAACTCATCCTACTGTTGAAAATGTGGGGGATTTTTTTGGTTATTTTGCATTAATATTTTTAATTTTAATGTTCTGGATATAAGAGGTCATTTATAAGTTATATTCTTATTGTCTAGGTTTTCATGCTTCCATTGTTTGTTCAGTTTCAGAAATAGTATTTTAGAAGAGGGCCTTGATAAGTCAGGAGACTAAGAACCCTGAAGAACCTGTCCCCCAATAAATTTATTTCACGTTGGGATCATGTGAATCAAGCACAATCTGTGATTTATCACCAGATGTTTGCATCCCTTCTTATCTGCCATTTGATTTAAGAAATCTGAACATACAAGTATACAGTATTCACCATTAATTCTGCCAGGACGCAAAACCTAATTACACTAAAAGCCTCATATACTGAGAAATTAATATAAATACTGTATATAAAACGTGCACAGCTGCACTCATAGCTCCCAATAAAAGAGTAATAGGGACACACAGCGGTTTTAAAGACATTTAATATGGTGGAGCAGAAGTCACCACGTCTAAAACTGGCCTGGCACTGGGGAATAGTTCTGTCTTGAACAGCATTCTGGACTCAGTTGTGAAGTAACCTAATCTAAAACACATATATCTGCCCTCAGTTCATTGCCAATTATCAAGTTCTACAAGTCATCAGCCTCGCCCCATCCCATCCCATCCCATCCCACCCGATCCCATCCCATCTCTCCCAAATCCCCTCTTACTCGACTTCTCTCTGCCTCCACTCTCTGCTTCCCACCCAAACAGGCTTTAAAAAACAAACACCCTACTACTGTCTCTTTATTTAGAAAGATAAGACTATTCTTGCCTCAGATAAAAGGCGTTACATGAAAACGCCACCTCACAGGCACCAGGGCATAAGAACTGAGCAACAGAAAAAAGGCTACCACGAGAAGACAACAGAACGGCTTTTGTTTTGGTTTTTACAAGAATAAAAACAATGTTGTGTCCATTCATCTACACTGGGAATGGGGAGACGGGTATCACAGAAATATGTGTTGTAATAAAGCAAATAGATGCTGCAACTTGCAGTATTTGTAAAGCTGACAACATAGATTTCTAAGGGGCTGGCGGGGGTTGGGGGGGCCTTAAAAATAGACCTAACTTGCTTTTCAAAGATGATGTTTCATTCCATAAATCTGTTGATTGACCAAAAGATAATTAATTGAAAGATGTTCCCACCCTAATTTGCTATCAGCCAGGAAGACTCTATAAAAGTGCCTAAAAGATCTGTCCCGTCTAGGGACCCTAGCATCTCAGTATCACAAGGCAAACCACCACACATCTCAGAACATCAGTGGCTGATTCCACAGATTTGGCTACATCTGGTTACTGCTTTCATTCTTTTCTCTCTCTCTCTCTCTCTCTTTTTCACCTGATGCCTTCCTTTCTGGATTTTTAGATTTGGGAGGTGTGTTCATTTTTGACATGAGGAAAGACTTTATGTGGGAACAAAAAAGCTAATTCCTTTTTTAAAAGAACAACACCACCTTGTTTACATTATGCTCTAAGGTAAGATGAGAATGGGAGAATAGAAAAGAACTTTTAGGCAATAAGAACAGCAAAAAAATCTAATGGAAATCAAAGCTTACGATGTTATTACCACTATGTTTTTTTCTTTATATCTGAGTGGATTACTGTGAGGAGATAAAGGGAAAGTTTTTAATATCAGACTGAAAACACCTTCTATTTCTTGAAAATTATTCTAGAGCTATAAAGTCTAAAAACTATTTCCATAGTTTGAGATAGATCTATTTTAATATAGTAAGTATCTTATGTTCCTTTCGGGTATAATACATGCATCAAAATGCCCATAGAAATGATCCTGAAAAAGACTGACTGGCCTTCTCTTAAAACTTGTTATTTTCTTGAAAGTAATTTATAGAGTGTGTCAAATGAGGACACAAGAAGCTTACATTGTGTACTTTAATTTTTTTATTTTTTTTTCAATAAAGGGACAAAATGGGTGTATGAACAGGTTAATGCAGACAACTGCCAAAAAAAACACAGACAGTGGTTTTTCCAATAGAACTTAACAAAGACCAGAAACAAATACAATAAAAAGCCAGGTTGTAATGACCTTTGGTCATCCAAATAAAAAAAAATAAAAACAAAGAAAAATAAAAGATCTAATTAAGTGCCTCTGTTTTGAACAGGGCACATAAGCAATAATAAATAGTGACTCCCATAGTAAAAGATAAAATTTCAAGTTACGACAAACAGCTTTCATTACAGGAATAGAAAAGGCCAATAACAAAATATTCTGCATTGCCATTTACAAAAAAGTATTGACTAAAGCGGGCTTTCTCTTTAATATGCTTTGCATATGAAATTCTTTCCAATCTAAATATAAAGCACCATTTAGTTTTTGGCAATGAAAAAAACTGCAAAACATTGTGGGGTGTTTTTTTTTTCCTTTTTTTTTTTCTTTCTTTCTTTTACTGCATATGAAGATAAGATGCTGGAATGTAAGGGTGATAGAAGGAAAGGGACAAAAAGCACACTACATAACAAACCAACGTTATTAGCTTGCAGTACTGCATACAGTATGGCAGCAGGAAAAAGGAACAAAAAAGGATATGTACAACCCCTATGACAGCCATCCGTGTGACATTCTAGCAGGCTCCCCCAAACGGCCATTATATGGCTTCTCATTTGTACAATGTCACACTTTTTTGTTTTTCTCTCTCTCTCTTTTTTTTTTGAAGCATACAAATAATTTGTACTATATTATCCTGCCAAATTAAAAAAATATACTGTGGCAGCCTGTCTTTTTTTTTTCCACTACCAGAAAAGGTACACTGATACCTTTTAAGAGAACAAGCAACAGTTAAAAATACAAGCTTCAATATAAATACTATAGTGCCTAACACTAGATGAACATTTAATTCAAATACCATTCTAGAAATACAGAAAAAAGACCATAAATGTGTTTTAGCATAGGAATCAACATGAGTGTGCATTTTCCTATATTTAAGTACTATATAATCTT